GGGAATAGCAATCCAGCTCAAGTGTCTGCCACACCTGGCTGTAGGAGATGGCTTAAGTGGAATTGATTGTCTCAACCAAAGCTCTATATAGATTTGACCCTATGTAAGTAAGTTAATGTCTAAGAAAGCTGAGTACGCTGCAAAGCCACCACACAGGGTTGGAAAATGGTGAAAAGCAGAGGCTTAGTGGCCAGACGGACTGGGGTTGGAATTTCAGCTCTGGACTTCTTGGTGAGTTGCTTCAGCTCTTTGGGCCTCACTGGTTTGTCTACAAAATAGGAATGGCACCTGTTTCTTTTCCTTGTTTTTTTTTACTCACACATGTTGTATGCTTACTATGTGCCAACATCATGCAAAACATTTTACATAAACTATCTTATTTAATTCTTGGAATAACAATCTTATGAGGTAGATACTATTGTTCTCTCCATTTTACATATAAAGAGACCAGGTTCTAATCTTCGTGGAGGGAACAGAATTGAAACCCAGGCTTTTGGTGCCAGAGCCTTCCCTGCGCTGCACACAATATTTAAAATGCTTAGTAGAGTATCTGGCATACATACGTGCTCAACAGGGGTGGATCCTCAGACCAGAGCAAACCCTAAATTGGCTTAACTATATGTCATGGATTGAATTGTGTCCTCCCAAAATATGTGTCAAGTGGGCTAGGCCATGATTCCCAGCAGTGTGTGATTGTCCACCATTTTGTCATCTGATGTGATTTTCCTATGTGTTGTAAATCCTGCCTCTACGATGTTAATGAGGCAGGATTATAGGCAGTTATGTTGATGAGGCAAGACTCAATCTATAAGATTAGGTTTTGTCTTTAGTCAATCTCTTTTGAGATATAAAAGAGAGAAGTGAGCAGAGAGACAGGGGGACCTCATACCACCAAGAAATAAGAGCCAGAAGAATACCACGTCCTTTGGACACGGGGTCCCTATGCTGAGAAGCTCCTCGACCAGGGGAAGATTGATGACAAAGACCTTCCCCCAGAGGCGACAGGGAGAGAAAGCCTTCCCCTGGAGCTGGCACCCTGAAATTGGCCTTCTAGCCTCCTAGACTGTGAGAGAGTAACTTCTGTTTGTTGAAGCCATCCACTTGTGGTATTTCTGTTATAGCAGCACTAGATGACTAAGACACTACATAAACACAATAATTTCCTTAGGGCCCTATAAGAAAACTGGGCACACTCAACTTTCTGATGGGAGTTATAAGCAACCTAGTGTACAAAATCATGTGGTCCTAGGAAGTTTCTGGTCCTACGCAGTCCCTGTGCCTGAGACTGTCAACATGTCTATGCACCAAGGGATAGAGAAGGTCAAAATATCTGGCCAGGAGAAGGGACGACTGGGTCTGCCCAATACCAGGAGGAGGGGGAGGACAAAGGATTGGGACATCACCTTTGTCCTGAGTTTCAGGGAAATCTTCTCTGGATTTCCTTCAGCTCTGGTCACCATGGCAGGGCCTTACCCCAAGTGGTTAGAATGCATCTGGAATATGAGATGTGAACCTAGATCAACATTCCAGCTCAGCAACTTTATAAAATCAGTCACCGTGGGCAAGTTGCTTTCTCGTTTGGAGCCTCGGTTTTACTGTCTATAAAATGAAGGCAATGAGCTTAAAAAGACTTAGTGCTGACATTTTGTTGTTCTAGAACTCTATGAACCTATAAAAATGGACATAAAGGGTTACATTCAAATTAAACAGAAATAGCAACTTCAAGTCCCAACCAGGTACACCACATCTCTAGCACACTTATTCCTAGGTGCCAGGCACTTGATTTTTTAGGAGGAAAACAAATCATCTAAAGTTTCTAATCGGTAATTTTGGGGAAAGTATTTTTTTTTTTTTGGTTTTGTTTTGTTTTTTGTTTTTTTTATTTTTTTTTATTGTACTTCAGGTGAAGGCTTACAGAACAAATAGTTTCTCATTTAACAGTTACTACACATGTTGCCGTATGACAATGGTTTACAATCTCACAACACATCAACAACATCCTTACTCAACCTTGGGTTCCCTATCACCAGCTTCCTTGTCCCCTTCTGGTTTCTGGCCCTTGTCACTGGACTCCTGTACCTTGTTAGTCTCGTTTGGTTTTACGGGGCTGTCCACTCCCAGGCTGAACAGTGAACCTCGGAGGTAACTTCACCATTGAGCTAAAAGGGTGTCTGGGGGCCATACTCTAGGGGTTTCTCCAGTCACCTTTAGGCCAGTAATGGGGAAAGTATTTTTGCAAGAAATTATTATAGATAAATGCAACTTGGTAACTTGGAGGAAAGCATTTTTTGCAAGAAATTATTAGGGATGAATACAACTTCAATGCAACTTAGTTCCAAGACTTAATATGCAAGAATGCAAAGGACTGTGTGCAACTTAAGCATATTTGTGGATTCCTTTTGCTAGTTCCCACAAAACTCCAGGTGAATTGGAAGAGGTCAGATTATTCTCTCGTTTCATAGACTGGCCAGCTAAATTTCAGAGAAACTAAACACCGTCTGCAGATTATGCTCAGTTTGTGGGTACTTTGGTGGCTAGGACCATGTCTTGTTCATATGTATTTTACACTCCACAATTCCTAGCACAATACTCAGGGACAATGTGTAGGGAAAAGCACTTGTAACACTGTACACATTGCAATTAAATTAATTTGCACATAATAAACCCTGTTGGGGAGGGGACATTTCATGTCCCTGAGCCTCAGTTTCTTCCTCTGTTAAATGGGAAGTCCAATGTCTTCATCACAGAACCGTTGTGAGGATTAAAGAAGATCATGGAAGCTTGTAGCACAGTTCCTGCCTCATCGCTGGGACTCAGGGCCAGGGCTGGCTTTAAGGGTGTGCCACCTGTGCACTCCAACAGGGCGCTGAGCTCAAAATGGCCCCATGATTGGTTTAATGCTCTGCTGTTACCATCTTGAAATTCTAAATAATGTTTGAACAAGGGGCCTTGCATTTTCATTTTGCACTGGGCCCTGCAAATTACTAGCTGGTCCTGCTCAGGGCATTAGTTTGAGTAGAATTGCCAAAACTCACACAATGAGGTCAATATGAAGAACAGCAAGCAGGGTCAGTCAATCAACAAGCGCCCCTTGAGCATCTAATCTACGCTCCTACACACTGTGCCCTCGGAGCCCCCTCCTAGGCCACACAGAGACAATGGAAAGAGGCCTGGTCTAAGGACACAATTCCATGCTAAAGTTCTCCAGAAGGGTTTTCTTTCACTGTTTGACCCTTTGGCCTTGGCCAGATAAACTATTAATAGTACCTACATCTTTAGGGCTGTTGTGAAGATTAAATGCATTAACCTATGTAAAGCTCTTGCTTGCTGAAAGTGAGGAGGACTTGAAGCACTTACTTATGAAAATCAAAGACTACATCCTTCAGTATGGATTACACCTCAACATAAAGACACCCAAAATCCTCACAACTGGACCAATTAGCAACATCACGACAGAGAAAAGATTGAAGTTGTCAAGGATTTCATCTTACTTGGATCCACAATCATTGCCCATAGGAGCAGCAGTAAAGAAATCAAACGATGCATTGCATTGGGCAAATCTGCTGCAAACACCTCTTTAAAGTGTTAAAAAGCAAAGATGTCACTGTGAGGACTAAGGTGTGCCTGACTCAAGCCATAGTATTTTCAATCACCTCATATGCATGCAAAGGAAGACCAAAGAAGAATTGATGCCTTTGAATTATGGTGTTGGCGAAGAATATTGAATATACCATGGACCGCCAGAAGAATGAACAAATCTGTCTTGGAAGAAGTACAGCCAGAGTGCTCCTTAGAAGCGAGGATGGCAAGACTTCATCTTATGTACTTTGGACATGTTATCAGGAGGGACCAGTCCCTGGAGAAGGACATCATGCTTGGTAAAGAGAGGATCAGCAAAAAAGAGGAAGACCTTCAAGGAGATGGATTGACACAGTGGCTACAACAACGGGCTCAAACATAGCAATGGTTGTGAGGACGGTGCAGGACTGGGCAGTGTTTCATTCTGTTGTACATAGGGTTGCTATGAGTCAGAACCAACTTGACGGCACCTAACAACAACAACACGTAAAGCTTTTAGAATAGTTCCTCCATATTTGTTGTTGTTGTTGTTGGGTGCCATCAAGTTGATTTTTGACTCATAGCGACCCTGTGTGACAGAGTAGTAAAACTCATAGGGTTTTCTAGGCTGCGATCTTTACAGAAGCAGATTGCCAGGTCTTTCTCCTGTGGAGCCACTGGGGAGTTCCAACCAGCAGCCAACCTTTCAGTTAGTAGCCAAGAGCTTAACAGTTGTGCTACCAGGGCTCCTTCCTGAAACACGGTAAGTCAACTATTATTGTTCATCATTGTTGGCTTTTCTTTGCCCCAATGTTTGCAGGGCTTTCGCTTTGACAACATGCATTTCTGATTACCATTCATAACCTTCTGAAGCTCCCAGACTGGCCCCTGCCCCCGCACACATGACAGTCCTTTGCAGCTAGAACGAATCTCAAGGAAAACACTCCTGGGGGGAGATATTCTCTGCAATCTGGTTCCCAGTTGACTTAAAAAGAATAACTGATAATGGTTACCACTGGTGCAGTACTGTGCTGCACCCTAACTGGACATTGTCTGTAATCTTTGTAGCCATCCTGGAAGGTGAGTATTTTTATACCCATTTTACAGGTAAGAAAACTGAGGCTTAGCAACTGGAAGTAGTAGAGTGGGGATTTGAAACCAGCTCTGTCTGGATCCAATGTCTATGCATCTTCCAGCTGACTCCCTGATGGCTGCAGCTGCTGCTGTAGACAGACCTCAGGTCTCAGGAGCGAGAGCCTAATGTCCATAAAGGGCAAACCACTGAATCTCAGCCTCACTCCAAGACAACTGCACAGTGAATTCCACACCCCGGAATCCCAACACTTCACAGAGAATCCTCTCTAGCACTTGTACACATACATGTACACAAACAAACACTCCTCAAACCGATTTAAAATCCTACCTACCCAGAGAGTACTTACCCCGGGACCATGAGCAAGTTCGGGTCCCACGTTGCTTCAGTGATGTCCTGTTGGAAACCTGTCCCTGCCACCTCCCCCAGCCCCACCCGGAATCTTCTGCGTCACTGGAGGTCAGTCACAGATGTTTCATCGTTTCCAACAGGGCGGGCACACTGTTGTTCAGAAGATAGCAATCTAGCAGGGCGAAGGGACAGATGATGCCTCCTATCTCTTTGGTCCCACTCTGCCATGCTCCCTGGTGCAGACAGTTTGTGTAGATGGAGGAGATTAGAGGCTCTCTTTCTCTCCATGTATGCACATATTTAAATACCACAAATACACACATAGCCTGGTAGCGTGGAAAGAACACTGGAGGAGGAGTCACAGGCCTGGGTTCAAGCCCCACCTCTGGCACCAACTTACTGCACGAGCTCGGACAAATCACTTCCCAATGTGAGCTTCATGTTCTTCCCCCATGAAATGAGGAAGTGGGTCTTTAGATATCAGTTAGCAAATGCCCCTTCCAGCTCAGCTCAGCTCTGCATCTGCATGTGATATGGCTGTCGGCTGACAGTATGTCAGGGACATGCAGCAACTGCTGAGAAAAACTTTCGAAGACAATTTCTTTGCCATTAAACATTGAACGAGGCCAACCAAGAATAGCTGTCACAGTCTGTATGATAGCGCCAGGAAGGAAGGAAGGTGGGCTTCAGGCTCCTGGGATGGCAGGGTAAAATCTCGAGATCTGAACTTTGAGGTGAAGAAGAATAAGAGGAAAAAGTGACACAGATGTGAACCAGACAAAGACAGCAGAACCTCATGAGCCCCTGTGATGCTGCCTCCGCCCAGGACAAGCTGGGCAGTGTAGAATGATGGCTTCAGAGTCAGGTGGATTCAGGTTTGAATCTTGGCTCCACTATTTGGTAGCTGTGTGACTTGGGAAAAATTACAATCCCTACGATCCTTAGTTTTCTCATCTGTAAAACTGGGTTAGTAGTGAACATCTAATTTTTAAAAAATCACATAGAGTTGCTTAAGGTTAAATAATATAAACAAATACACAAAGCACTTAGCAGAGGACCCTTTCTTTGGGAAACAACAAATGGTAGCTATTAACATTTTTATTCTCTAAAACGCAAGTCAGAAAGCCATTCCGCTCAATGTTTTAGGACCCAGCGAGGCTCACTGTGAAATTGGCGTCTATAGCTGCAGTTTCCTTTCCTTTTGATAGCTTGCATTAACACCACGAGGCCCCTTTAACAGTCCAGGTTTTAGGGATGCACCAGAACGCTGGCACTGGGGTCTCCATACCCTCCAGGCCCCCCACCAGTTTTAATAGAGACTTCTCTTTGATGCTGATTCTGCCACAACCTAAGTAATTAGCCACAGTTAACCTATAAGTCCCTGGATGGGTACAGACTGTTAATATGCTTAGCTGCTGACTAAAAGCTTGGAGGTTCAAGTCCATCCAGAGGTGTCTTGGAAGAAAGATCTGGCAATCTACTTGAAAAAAATCAGTTATTGAAGACAGTATGGCGTACAGTTCTATTCTGACACACATGGGGTTAGCATCAATCAGGGTCAATTTGGCAACAACTGGTTACAGTCAATCTACGGAATCGAGCCAAGATTCTTGGCTTGCTAGTTCTATTACTCCTTCACCTGAATCCAGCGTTCAACATTCACACTCTCTAGTCTTCTGTGTGGACCACTGTTAGACCAGAACCTTCCAGCGTGCTATGCCAAGGCTCACAGTATCATGCAGTTGTTAAGGATCTTTGAACACTGACATATTTTGGGTCCTCCACGTGTCATTTTAGAGATTCTCATTTGAGTGAGGACTTGGATGAGGCATCTTTAACACATGTCAGGTATGGTGAAACCTTTATTTAATAGTTACACTTTCAGATATTTCAGTACTAAGACAGCGTAGCAATGGTATGCATCCCTCTTTGTAAGCTTAGAGGAGGTGGCAGAGTTCAGTGGGAAGTCCACTTGACTTGAATCTCAACAACCTGGAAATCTAAGCCATTTGGCTTCTCTGAACTACATCCTCCTCATATATAATTAAACAGAGTTTTTCAACCATTTCTAGCATCCCTTCTGCTCTAAAATTCTATGATGTTGTACACTATATGTCATCCACATCTCTTCTCTAAATAGCAAAGTGAGAATTATTGAGGGTTTATGTCTTATCTTCCCTGTATCCTCTGCAGTCAGAACTCTGCCTGGCACCTAGTAGGCACTCAAGAAATGTTTGTGGCAGATAACTGAGCGAGCGGATTAAAGGGCTCAGGAACACACGTATCGCGTATGCATCTCGTATGCTCTAACTAATCGCAAGCACTTGCTGTAGACGATTTGCTCACAAAAGCCCTGACCCTGCTCCTGCCAGGAGGATCCTAGGAATGAATCCACTCTGGTGCTCCTCACCACCCAGGTCTGGGTGCAGCTCGAGGTGCCAAGTCCCAGTGATATGGCCCTCGTCTCTGCCCTGAGCTGAGACTCCAGCCTCAAGGGTAGGATGTCAGGGGAGATCGAAACAGTGATAAATGAAGTTAGACCATCAACAGGAAGCTACTTCTGATAGTTTATCATCTTGTGGGGAAGGAGCCCCTGATAGGGGCCGATAACACACTTTCACCTCCTGCCCCCCTTTCAGGAGGCAACAGCCTGAGGCAATAGCCTCCCTTCCAAGCCTCTTTCTCTTGCACAGTGTCCCCAGTATTTGCAAGACATCTGTCTCACAAGGAACACAGCTGTTCGCTGCAGGAGAATCAACTTCCTCTCTCCTTTTCTGAGGGGGAAATAATGTGTGTCAACAGGATTAGCGAATTTTTTTAAAGGAAAAAAAAACACAAAAAACTCTACTCACTATCCAATCACCCTAATACATGTTTGCATAATACCTTGCCTGTATACTTGCATTTTTTTTCTGCTAGTTTTCCACATTATAGCAAATCAGCTTTTAAAACCCACAGTTCCGGTTATGTCACTCTCTGCTGAAAACTCTCCAGGGGCTTCCCACTGGCCTTAGGATGAAATCCGAGATCCTGCACAAGGTCCACAAGGCTCCCCACTATCCGGCACTGCCTCCCCTTTAGCTCTATCTGGAGCTACTTTGCTTGTTTTTCTCTTGTCATACTTTAGCCAGCTTCCCTCCCACCTCAGGGTATTTTCATATAAGGGTCTCTCTACCCCAAAACAATTTTCACATTTGTAATGACTGCTTAATATCCTACTTTGGAGCCCTGGTGGCACAGTGGTTAACAGCTTGGCTGCTAACCAAAAGGTCAGCAGTTCGAATCCACCAGCTGCTCCTTGAAAACCCTGTGAGACAGTTCTACTCTGTCCTGTAGGGTTGCTGTGAGTCGGAATCTGCTGGACGGTAACGGGTTTAGTTTTTTTTGTTGTTGTTGTTATAACCCTAAATTCCAAACCATTCTCCTGGGTAGCATTCCAGTGTTTTACTTTTTGGACAACATGTTGATAAATACTTTTGTACGTACTGATTTTTTTTCCTTCTTTCAGATTATTTTCTTAGGATAAAGATCCAGCAGTGGATATCTACGTCAAAAGAAAAGTTGTCTTTATGGTTCTTATATTTTATTGACCTTCTGCTTTCCGAACATCTGTTCCATTTTGTGACACCATTAGCAGTGGTTGAGAGTGTCTATTTCCGTACAACCTGGATAGCAACAATCTATCATTTTTCAGTAACTCCATACATTTTAATTTATTTCACATTTCACATCTGTTTATTATTAGCAATAAAAATTTACTGTTTATTAAGCACTAGCAACTTACCAGTTGCTTAATACACACTTATTCAATCCTTACAACAACCTTACAAGCTGATATTACAGATACTGTTTTAATATATTTACATTTAAAGTATTACTGATAAGAAAGGGCTTACTTCTGCCATTTTGGTTTGTTTCCTATATGCTTAAACTTTTTGTTCCTCAATTCCTCCATTTCTGCCTTCTTATGTGATTAATTAATTTATTATTATTATTTTTTTTTAGTGCATTCTTTTGATTCCCATTTGTCTTCGTTATGTAGTGCTGCTATAACAGAAATACCACAAGTGGATGGCTTTAACAAACAGAAATTTATTCTCTCACAGTCTAGGAGGCTGGAAGTCCAAATTGAGGGCACCAACTCTAAGGGAAACTTTCTCTCTGTGTTGGTTCTGGCGGAAGGTTAGTGTTATCAATTGTCCTCTGGTCTAGGAGCTTCTCAGCGCAGGGACCCCAGGTCCCAAGGATGAGCTCTGCTCCTGACACGTCTTTCTTGGTAGTATGAGGTGCCTCTCTTCTCTGCTGTATTCTCTCTTATATATCTCAAAACAGATTGACTCAAGATACAACCTAATCCTGTAAACTGAATCCTGCCTCATTAACATAACAACCTCTAATCCTGACACATTAACGTCATAGAGGTTAGGGTTTACGACTCATAAGATAATCACATCAGATCACACAATGGTGAACAATCACACAGTACCGGGAATTACGGCCTAGCCAAGTTGACACACATTTTTGGGGGGCACAATTTAATCCATAACACCGTCTCATTTATTTTTCTGTATACTTTTTAGTTTTGTTCTTATTGGTTACCCTAGGAATTGCAATTAACATCTTAACTTTTTAACACTTAAGTTTTAATTAATACCTTCTTATTTTCAATGTTATTGTTGTTGTTAGGTGCCATCAAGTCAGTTCCGACTCACAGCGACCCTATGTACAGCAGAACAAAACACTGCTCGGTCCTGCCCCATCCTCACAATTGTTGTTGCACTTGAGCTCATTTTGCAGCCATTGTTTTGTCAGTCCATCTCATTGAGGGTCTTCCTCTTTCTCAGGTTATTTGCTCAGCATACAGATTGAATAAGTATGGTAAAAGGATGCAACCCTACACACACCTTTCCTGACTTTAAACCACGCAGTATCCACTTGTTTTCTTCAAAGAAACTGCCTCTTGATTTATGTACAGGTTCCTCAAGAGCACAATTAAGTGTTCTGCAATTCCCATTCTTTGCAATGTTATCTATAATTTGTTATGATCCACACAGTCAAATTCATTTGCATAGTCAATAAAACCCAGGTAAACATCCTTCTGGTATTCTCTGCTTTCAGCCAGGATCCATCTGACATCAGCTATGATAGCTCTGGTTCACGTCCTCTTCTGAATCCAGCTTGAATTTCTGGCAGTTCCCTGTCTATATACTTCTGCAGCTGCTTTTGAGTGATCTTCAGCAAAATTTTACTTGCATGTGATATTAATGATATTGTTTCATAATTTTCGCATTCTGTTGGATCCTTGGGAATAGGCATAAATATGGATCTCTTCCAGTCGGTTGGCCAGGTAGCTGTCTTCCAAAGTTCTTGGCATAGATAAGTGGGC